ACTATAACAAGCCAGGATACTGAATCAGTAATCAAACACCTCCCACCTAGAAACATCTAGGACCAGATGGCCTCACTGGTGAATTCCACCAAATATTTAAAGAAGAATTAACACCATTCCTGTTCAAACTCTTCCAAAAAAATAGAAGAGGAGGGAGCACTTCCTTACTCATCCTATGAGGTCAGCATTATTCTGATACCAAAGCCAGTTAGAGAGATCACAAAGAAAGAAAACTACAGACCAATATCCTTGATGAATACAGATGCAGAAGTCCTCAACAAAATACTAGCAAACTGAACCCCACAGTACATTAAAAGGATCGTATACACTGTAACCAACTAGGAATGAAAGGGTGGTTCAACATTAGAAAATTAGTCAATATACTAACATCACACTAATAGAATGAAGGAAAAGAACCACATGATTATCTCAATTGATGCAGAAAAAGCACTTGACAAAATCCAGTCCTCTTTCATGACAAAAACTAGGAATAAAAGGGAAATTCCTCAACGTGATAAACAGAGCAAATGTCATACTCAGTGCTGAAAGACTGAAAACTTTCCCCCTATATCAGAAACAAGACAAGGATTCCCACTCAGACCACTGCATTCCACCCTGCACTGGAAGTTCTAGCCAGAACAATTAGGCAAGAACAAGATATAAAAGGCATCCAAATCAGAATAGAAGAGGTAAAATCTCTATCTGCAGATGACATGAACATATATATACACACAAATATATATTTTCTATATGCACATATATAGAAAATCTTAGAGAATCCACAAGAAAGCTACTAGAACTAATAAATGAATTTGGCAAAACTGCAGAGCTCAAGATCAACACATAAAAATTATTTGTGTTTCTATACCATAGCAATAAACAATCTAAAAAGAAAACAACCCTGTTTACAATACCATCTCAATGAATTAAAATCTTAGGAATAAATTTAACTAGGGGAGAAAGGCAAACACTAACAACTATAAAACATTTCTGAAAGAAATTAAAGAATACCTAAATAAATGGAAAGACATCCTGTGTTCATGGATTGGGAGACTTAATACTGTTAAGATGACAATACTACCAAAGTGATCTATAGATTCAATACAATCTCTATCAAAATTCCAATAGCCTTTTTTGCAGAAATGGAAAAGCCAATCCTCAAATTCATATGGAATTGCAAGGAGCCCCAAACAGGCAAAAACAATCTTGAAAAAGAATAAAACAGGAGGACTCATACTTCCCAATTTCAAAATACACTATAAAGCTACAATAATCAAAACAGTTCAGTACTCATATGAGGACAGACAATTGAATAGAATTGTGAGTCAAGAAATAAACCCATATATCTAAGGTGCAACTATTGGTCTCTCCCCATCCACGGCAAAGAAGAGTGAAGAAAATCAAAGACATATGTACACAATTAACCCATAGGATGATTGGACCACAAGAACCTCAGCCTACATGACCCTGAGACCAGAACTAGATGGTGTATAGCTACCACTGCCGACCACTCTGAAAGAGATCACAACAGAAGGTCCTAAATGGGAGAAAAATGTGGAACAAAACTCAAAATCATAAAAAAGACCAGGCTTACTTGTCTGATACAGACTAATGGAACCCTGAGACCATGGCCCTTAGACACCCTTCAAACCTGAAGCTGCCCTCACCTCCATGGCTCAACGTTATAGCCAGGACTATACGCAGACAATAACACCAGGAAGGTACGCACTCCTTAGATCAATCAACCATGTAAGATCAAAAGGGCAGCATGTGCTCAGCGATAAAGCTCAGAAGGCAGGAAGGGATAGGAAAGAACAAATGGAAAGAGTAAACACGGGGAGGAAGAGGAAAGTGTGCTGTTATGTTGTGGGGACTGCAATCAATGTGACAAAGCATGTATGAATTGTTCAATTTGCTCTGTAAACTTTTACCCAAATCACAATAAAAAGTTGGAAAAAAATCCATCCATCTGTGGCCAATTATTTTTGACAATAGTGTCAAGTCCATTAAATGGAGAAAGAATAGTTTCTTCAATAAATGGTTCTGCAAGCATGGGAGAAAGAAGGGCTGCTTATGCACAGAGAGACAGCCCAGGGGGTAGCAGTGCATGGAGGGATGGACACAGGGAAGAGGTAACTAACAGGAGGAAGTGGGAGGGGAGATGTTGCATTGTGGTAAATTGTGGTCAATGTCATGAGACAAAGTGTATGTGAACTGCTGTATGGAAAGTGTATTTGCTCTGTAAATTTTCACCCAAATCACAATAAAAATAAAAATAAATGGTTCTGGGGCAACTGGATCTCCACATGCAAAAGAATGAAGTTAGCTGGACTAATACCACACAAAAATCAAAAAAACAAACCCACTGCCATCAAGTTAATACTGACTTATAGCAACCGCCATTGGGTTTCCAAGGCGGTAAAATCTCTATGGAAGTAGATTGCCCAGTCTTGCTTCTGCAGAGTGGCTGGTGGGTTTGAACCCCCAACCTTCTGGTTAGCAGTCAGATGCCTTAGGCACTGTGCTACCAGAGCTCCTTAATATCTCACATCATATATGAAAATTAACTCAAAATGGATCAATAACTTAAATGTAAGAACTACAATCATGGAACTTTTAGACGAAAACAAAGGCATTAAGCTTCAAGACCTTGTTTTTGACCATGAATTCCCACCAAAAGCAAGAGTAACAAAAGAAAAAATAAATGAGATTTCATGAAAATGGAAAATTTCTGTGTAATAAAAGTTTTTTATCAAGAAAGTGAAGAGACAACCTATAGAATGGGGAGAAAATATTTGGGAACCATATATATGGTAAAGATTTAATATTAAAAAAAAAGAATTCCTACAACTTAATAACAAACAACCCAATTTTAAAATGGGCAAAAGACTTGAATAAACATGTCTCCAAGAAGATATGTAAATAGCAAAGAAACACATGAAAAGATGTCCTACATCACTAGTCATTTGTTGCTGTCCTGTGCTGTGGAGTCAATTCTGACTCACAGCGACCCAGAGCAGAAACGCCCCACAGGGTTTTCTAGACTTATTTTTATAGAAACAAGCCCTGGTGGCACAGTGGTTAAGAACTAGGCTGCTAATCCAAAGGCTGGCTGTTTGAGCCCATCAGCTGTTTTGTGGGAGAAAGATGTGGCAGTCTGCTTCTGTAAAGATTTACGGTTTTGTCAACTCCTTAGGGCAGTTCTACTCTGTCCTATAGGGTTGCTATGAGTTCAAATTGATTCCACAGGCTATAGGTTAATCTTTATAGGAGCAGATCACCAGGTGTTTTCTCCCAGATCTGCCATGGGTTCAAACCCCCAACCTTTAGTTTAGCAACCCAGCCCTTAAACATTATAATCATTAAGGAAATGCAAATCAAAACCACAGTGAGATACAATATCACACCCACTAGGACGGGTATTATCAGATAATCGTAAACTAACAAGTACTGGAGAAGATGTGGACAAACTGGAACCCTGTGCATTGCTGGTGGGAATGTAAAGGGTGCAGCCTCTGTGGCAAAAGTTTGGCAGCTCCTCAAAAAGTTAAAACAGAATTACCTTATGACCCAGCACTTCTATCCAGTATACCCAAGAGACTTGAAAGCAGGGGCTCAAACACATACTTGTAACCGATGTTCACTGCAGTATCATTCATAATAGCCAAAAGATGGAAACAAACTGTCCATCAACAGATGAATGAATAAACAAATATGATATACCCATACAGTACATTCAGTCATAAAAAGAAAGGAAATTCTAATACATGCTACCACATGGATGAACCTTGAAAACATGCTGCATGAACTCAGACACAGAAGGACAAATACTGTACGATCTCATTGATATGAACTATCTAGAATAGGCAAATGCAGAGACCAAAGTTTATTAATGGTGGCATAGTGCCTAAGGCATGTGACTGCTAGCCAGAAGGCTGGTCCCGGTTCAAAACCCACCAGCCACTCCTCAGAAGGAAGACTGGGCAACCTACTTCTATAGAGATACTACCTCAGAAACCCAAGGAGGGGTCGCTGTGAGTCCGACTCAACAGCAGTAAGTTTGGTTTGTGTTTTTTTAGGGTAAGACATGGGAACTCTAGTGGTGTAGGGCCTAAGGCATTTGACTCTTAACCAGAGCACTGGCAGTTCAAATCCACCAGCTGCTCTGCAGAAGGAATATGTGGCAATCCACTTCTGTAAAGGCAGCTTCAGAAACCCAATAGTAATTGAAGGGGTTCCAAGTTTCTGTTTTGAGACGATTTGAAAATGAATGTGACGACAGCAGAACACTGTGAATGTAATTAATATCACTGAATTGTACACTTAAAAAACGGTTAAGATGGATTTTTTTTTTTGTTGTTATGTATCACAATAAAAATATAAAAAATAAAGAAGATTAAGACTTCACAAGAAAGGTCAAGAAGGGCAACAACAGAATGCCAAGATTCTACTCAGTGCGGTGCTGACTGCGGCAAACGGGACAGCACCAGAGTCAAAACTGGATCGCCTTGGGAATAAATGTGAATAATGTAACCCAGGAAGACCAAGTTTCTGTTAAGGGCGGTGGAAAAATTCAGAAACGGGCATTGGTGATGGGTGCAGAACATGATGGACGTAATTAATGTCACTGAATTGTACACGTAATGTTGACAAAAAAAAAGTTTTGTGATATATGTTTTTACCACACATACAAACACACACAAAATACCCCCAGAAACTATGAGGGTGTTGTGAACACGGGGGGTGAAAAGCTGACCAAGGGCTGAGAGGGGACTGAGACAGAAAATTGGTCAGAGTAGGGGAATCAACAACCACGTGCACCAAGTTATGAGCTCCCAGGAAACAGGAACTAGTTGGGTGCGCCCTAGGTCTGAGGTCCAGCACAGCAGGGCACCCGAAGCCGGGAAACGGTTTCTGGCATTCCCAAGGCCCCTCCCATATCCTGAGGTTGTTCGCGGCCGAAGTGAGGGACGCCAAGGCCTCCTTGGGGTCCTACTCACCCCTTGCCGCGGCCGGGAATTCTCGTAACTCCCTCCGTACGGCGTCCAAAGCCGCCTCCGCCATGACTCTGCAACTGCTGCCTCCGAAATCTCGCTCCAGGTTCTCGGGACCTCCCCTCCCCGAGGCTCCACCCCAGACTCGCGGCCCCGCCCCCCTACCCTCCAGAGGCGCGAGCGCGGGACCCAGGTACTGCTTCCATCGAGACTGAACCTGCTCCCTTCGCTTCCCCCACTCACTAGCATCCCAAAGTTAATAAATGATTGTTTATTGACGAATTCATACAAACGAAAACGTTAAAAATGGCCCCGGCTCCTACGGGCCTGGGGAGAAGGGAAGCGCCACGGCTTGAACAAAGTATAAACGTTATAAATAAGGGGCTTTCAAAACTGGGCAGGGCACATACGGAAGGGGGCGGCAGTTGCCGGTGGCCTCAGACATGCAGAAGAGGACGGGGCGCCGGCCCGATGCTATGCAGGGGATAAGGAAAGGGGGCCCACCTTCTCAAAAACCTTGGTATGCTTGTAGCTCCCTCCTTGTGAGGGGCAGGCTGGCTGAGGATTGGGCGAAAACCCGGGCCAAAGGGCCAGGCCAGAGCCCTATTTGGGGTGGGCTGCTGTGCTGGGGGTATTGCTGGATGGGATTACTAACCCTTACACTGGCAACTACAGCCCTGCCAGGGTCCACCCTCAGCATTAAAAGTTCTTGGGGCCAAGGTTTCTTTGCAGTTTGGCCACGCAGGTGGTGGTGGTAGTAGAGTGGGGTGAAATAGGCTTTGATTTGTTTAAGTGCACTCAAGCTGATGTAACAGAGCTGGGCATCCTTCAGAATCCAATTTCCTTCTGCCTATACAGCCAGCAGGGCCTATAAAGGCGTATCTGGTGGCATAGTGCCTAAGGCATTTGACTGCTAACCTGAAGGCTGATGGTTCAAACCCACCAGCCACTCCTGGGAGGGAAGACTGGGCAATCTACTTCCGTAGAGACACCACCCTGGAAACCCAAGGAGGAGTCACTATGAGTCAGACCCCACTTGACAGCAATGGGTTTTGTTGTTGTTGTTAACCTGGTTAATGGGTTTTTGTGGCCTGAATCTATGGTAAAGCTGCCCTGACTTACTTGGGGCAGAGGGAAAGCAATAGGGGCCAGAGACATACATTCTTCAAACTCTTTCAAAATGCTGCACTATTTGCTCCCATTCTACCTGCCTACTGTGTCCCATGACCATCGCTTTAATCCTAACAACTGCCCCCTTCTAATACTAATCTACCCTCTTACCTCTACCACTTACCTGTCCCATCTACCACTGTCCCAGTGTGTCTCTTGGCTCCTGAAGCAATCCCACGTGCCTCCCTCCCCTCCTCTAGCACCGGGAATGCCCCTGGGTGCTGACCCTGCCTTTGATGAGGTTCCTTCTATCCCCCTAAGGGCCATCTCGTATTAGCTAGGCTGGGACGTCAAGAATCCAGAATTTGGGTTTTGTATGTCCCATCCCTTTCATGCTCCTTCCACATAAGCCAAGATGGTGAAGATAGGGCAGGATGTGAGAGGAAACCAGCCACACACTGTCAAGTACTCTACCAAGGAACACTAAACTGTGTGTGTGTGAGAGAGAGAGAGAGAGAGAGAGAGTGTGAGTGAGTGAGTGAGTTTCATCTTGCAGCCAAGGTCCTTAGAAGGTGGGCTGGCACCCTGTAAACCAACCATGAGGGAAGTTCCATGAGGGAAGTTCCTACACAGGCTTCTGACTGAGCACCTCAGGCAGGGAGCAGATGGCCTCTATGCTCCAGCAGCCTGGTGGGGAGCAGGATTGAGAGTAGGGAAGGTCAAGGGCCTGAGGAAAGGTGGCCAGGCCAGGGCTTCATGTTTGCCCAGCAGAGGCTTACTGTCCTGCAGCAAGTTCCAGAGCTGGTTCCACAAGCTCTGGCTGAGAGGGGGAAGGGCACAAGGATAAAAACAATGCTAGGGGTCCCAAGGAAGCAGAATAGGAGTGGAATGTGGGGGCTCAGGCCCTGATACCAACTGGCGCCTCCTAACAGCTAGGAATGCCCTGGAGGGCCAAAGGGCTCTGCATTTCTAAACTGTGAGGAATTGGGGAAAACATAATCCCTGCTCTGGCAGCCAGGAGAGTGCAGCTGGTTTGGGAGGGGAAAAGGAGGTAGAGGTGAAGCTCTTCCTGTTGGCTGAATGGCACTGAATACCACATCACCTCTCACCTCTACCCCACAGAATACCCTGTGTATGCTCCACTCCAGGGAGCTGATCCCTGCAGTAATTTCAAATGGCTTCTAACAAAAGAGGGTCAGCCTTTCCCAGTTTCCCCAGATTGGGGAAGGCTGCCCTCCTACCCCTCACAGCACCAAGATGACTAAGACCTACCCCTGCCAGGAGCCACTGGGGGCACTATATAGGCAGGAGTTCCAAGGAAGTGAGGCAACAGTCAGGGAAATAAATTAATAAATACAGGGGCCCCTGTGAGGAGCAGCTGGAAAAGCTGCTTTCCCTCTGAGCACTGATCCCTGCAATCCACTCCAAGCATCTCCGCAGGTTTTGGTGAGTGGAAGAGGGGCAACAGTTTGGAATTAGGGGAGCATTCACTTGGGAGAGGCTTCTGGAACTCAGAGTCTGCGTTCCATGCGCCGCTCCACGGCTCGAAGCAGCAGCTCTGAGTACTGCTCTAGCAGGGCCTGTGTCTGCTCAGCTCCCACAGCCCCAGGGCTTCCACCTGGGCTAGACAGCACTGCCCCAGCCAGGGCCTCCAGCTCCTGCCTCACTGAGGAGAAGGTGTCTCTGAGGAGTTGAGTAATGCGACTTTGTTCCGCTGAGGGTGTCTTGCAGCTGGCCACCTGCAACAGGACCCCCGGAGGTCAGTTGGAGGAACGATGGAAGAGGTCAACAGTCAACAGACATATAAAAGAAGGGCCCCACCTGGGCCTAGCTTGCCCCAGAAGAATGGCCTGCATGCCCTCTGCTGGGTATGACTGGGAGTTCTACACCCTAAGTTCAGTAAGTAAGACCAGAAGCACCCCTGCCTGGCCCAAAGGATTTGGAGGTAAAATCTCAGGGGTAATCTCAAAGTGGGATTCCATCATATTTCAGAACCCATCATATCAGCAACTCCTTACAAAAAGACTCCGTTTTCTCTTTCAAAGTTTTGGCCCTGTTGGACTATCTCCTCTATCTAGGGTGACCAAATAAATTTTGAAAATGAAAAGGGGTGTTATCAGTAATTATACTATAATAGCAGGCATAAACTGGGATTGTCCTGAGTAAACTAGGACATGTGATCTATGTAGCACCCTGCCGTTGCCTGAGGCAAGCCTCCAACTCTCTGCCAGAAATGGCCAATAGGTGCTAGATTCAAAAGCCCTGCCTGGCCTCTAACCCATACCCAGCCAGTGGGAGCACTACACTTACCACATGGTAGAGATGCATGGCCTCTCGCACATTGCCCTGAAGCTCTGCCACAAGTTGTTCACACTGCTCCAAGCTCACCACTGGTCCTGGAAGGGACAGACAGCACTCAGGAAGACCCAGCAAGCTGCCTTTTTAGGCCTCCCCACCTGGGGGCCTGCTCTGAGCAGATGAGCTACCCCCAGCATTATACACTCTCCACTTGCCCTCACACCCTTCCTTTTGCCTCCTTCCCTCCCAATACCACCACAATACCCAACAGAAAACAAGGTCCAAAGGAGAGAGCCAGTCCCAGCCCCAGGGTCCAGAAGGCACTGAAGGGCTAGGTTGGTCACAAGGAGATCATGGAGGATGGCAGCAGTGTCTCACCATCAGTGGTGTGACTTATGGACCAAGACAGGAGCAGACAGGACGAAACACACCAGAGGTTGGATGCACAGAAATGGTATGGAGCCAGAGAGCAACCAACAGAGACGAGAAAGAGAGGACGGGATGAAAGATGAGAACTGGGGAGCCATGCACACCTGAGTCCTGGCTCAGGGCTGCCCCTGGCCTGGTACATTCCATGGGGCTGGGAATCTTCTCAGGGGATGGGGGCTGCAAGTTCTGAGGACCTCGGAGGAGGCTGCTGACTGGCAGCTGCTGGACACAGGGGCTGCTGGGCCCAGGCTGAGCTGAGCACTCTGTCCTAGGCTTGGGAATGATACTCTCCCCCAAACATGCCCGCCTGTCAGGTGTACTGTGAGCCTTTCCCAAACCAGCTGGGGAGCCAGGCTGTTCTGCCTCACCAGGGGATTGGCCCTTGGTTACAGGGGAGAATGTGGCCAGGGTAGGACGGTCAGGCAGTGATTTGGGGATGTCCAGGACCAGGTGAGCCCGACTGGGCAGGGCCAGCTTGCTGAATGGTAAGACTCGGATGGGAACAGGAGTTTGTGGTTCAGCTGTCAGGCCCAGGTTCTCCCCAACGGAGATACTGCGGGCTATCTTGGCCATGGAACTGGTGGTGGGATTCCGGTAGGAGTGGGGCCGAGACAGGTGGCCATCAGCCTGGATTCGGGAGCCTAGGCCTGCTTGGGCCTTGATCTCCTGTGAGAGCAATGGGCCTGGGAGAGGGGCCTCATCTGCAGAGGAAATAAAGATGTACACAGGTCAGGTTGTGAAGAAGGCATCCTAAGTGCTAAGGCTTAGCCCCTGGGAGCTACCGTTCATCTTCACATGCCCAGAGAGACACCAGGAGTAAGCACAGTGACACATGAGAGCAATATCTGACCTTCCCTCCTTTTTGCATGCTCATGCTTTCCACATCCCTTCACCACCCTGGAACTGAGTACACCAGGATCCTCACCCTGTGGCACCAGACTATGCACAGACTGGGCTTTCTGCAGTCCACCTAAGGAGCCGATTGTAGCTGCTCTCTTAGGGGCCCAGCTGCTGTCTGGTTTCAGACGGCGGAGTGGCAATAGCACAGGGGCTGTCTGCTGGGGACCAATGTTGGCAGGAGAAGGCTCTGCCTCCGGGGGAGCTCCAGGGGGATTGGCACCATTGCCTCTCAGCTGTTCACCAGACGCCTGTGGCACCTGGACTGGTCTCAACTTCAGTGCCGGGCTTGAGGAGGAAGGGGATGGTTCCCTACAGAGTGAAATATGGAAGAAGGCCCAGACAAGGCTCAGTGTTCCACCGAGCCAAGGTGGTGAGTAGCTCTCATACCACCAGAGAGGTGCTAGGAGAGATGGACAGGTACAAAGCCAGATAGGGTTGGGGCCAAGCCAGTTGTCCCAAAATTAGTAATGCAAAATCCTGTGGGTGTGGGAAGTCACAAGCACTGGAGGGAGGAAGGCTGCATGTTGCCCCAGAGACAGGACTGGGCCTTACTGAGATCACTGGGCAGATAGGAGAGCCAGAGCTGCTGTGGGAGAAGTCTCTGTACCTGAGTGGGAGGGTCTGCACTTGCAGCAGGAATCGTGAAGAGATGCTCTGAGACACTGTCCTCTCTGGTACCCTGACTGGGCCCCCTGCCAGCATGACAGAAATCATGAATCAAGACAGAGGCCAAGCTCTTGCCCTAAATTCTGCCTTCTCTAGAAGGAAACCCTAGGGATAGACGCTGCCCTTGGACTTTCCTATTGAGCTAGGCATCAAAGGGAGAAGGGTATATTACAGTGATCAAATGCTGGCCATGTGACCACACCTGGAGCTGCCCCATTTGCCAAAGTCTCAAAGTGCTGTTTTAGAAACTGCTCCTGGTCCGGCGTATGGGGGCTGCCTTCCTGCAGCCCACAGGGACCAGTGCCTCCCTCCTCTTCCTCCTCTTCCTCATCACCCTCAGCTGGCTCTTCAAGGTCTGAGGAGATGCCATCCACACTCAGGGGCTCCGTGCTCTCAGAGTCTGAATGTGGGGAGAGGGGGAGACAGGCATCATGCTGCACTGTACACATCTGTCATCAGAGCCTCCTCCCCTTCAGTCTACTGGCCTGTGTGGTCCTGGCCCCTCTCTCCAGATTTGGCCTCACCTTCATTGGGGTGCTCAGGGCTGGAAAGGCGGCTGCTACTGTAATCCACAGAGCAGGCACTGTCAGGGCTGTGTTTCTCTGAGCCCCTGCTAACTGGGTACACTCTTCCCAGGGTCCCTCGGGCTGGGGCCTGCACCTGGAACTCACTGCTAGCAAGGCCAGGCAGCATGGGAGAAAAAATACCGTTATGAGAGATGGGCAGCAGTCCCACTGGACTCTTGCCTTCCTTTTCCTCTGCCTGTGAGCAGGACTAAGGAGGAGGCAGTGATGAGTTGGTAGGCAATCCCTGAGTACCCGTGGGACCAACCCTCCCTGCACAGTGGACAGTGAAGACAAAAGAATAAGAAACACTCTGAGGGAAAGGAAGACTGGGGGCTGCACAGCCCCAAGAGGTTGGCCAGAGCCGGACCCTTGCCTGGTATCCAGGGTGGGGCTGTCACTTGGCTCCGGGTAGACAACACCATCTTCGATGGGAGCAGACTCCAGATCTTGGGCAAAGACCCCATCCTCTTGGGACAACAATCGGATAACGTGGGGGCAGGAACAGGGTTGGGAAACCTGAGGCCAAGGGGGTCTTTCATTCTGGGAACACATAAAGGGGCATTACTGGAGTTGCTGACGTAAGAAGGACTTGAAGAAGAGGTGGAGGTGGGCAAGGATTTGGTATGCACCATTCTGGAGGGAGTTAAATACTGAATGCTCCAACTCTTAGGTCTTAGGACAGGCACCAAGAAGCCAGGCTGGGCTCCAGCTGGTGTTAAGCTTCTGAAAGAATTATATTAGTACCCTGGGCTGCCTACTTCCAGCCACCACTTAACATTAGCAGCCCTCCAGGTAACCTACCCTCTCCCCTGCCCACCCCAATCACCATACCCTACAGCCTACCCAGGCCCACCCTGACTCTGCAGCTCAGGTTATCCATGTGCCACAGTGGCAGAGCAAGTACAAACAGACCAGACTTAGACCTCAAGTGTTGGCCTAGGCTGTCTAGGACTCCATGGAGATCTCTAGGGAGCTGGGAAAAAGCTCAATCACCTGTTTAACATATGAGGCCTCAGGGACTTGTTGACCATACTTCCCAGGATCTGATGGGGCCATGGCCAGTAAGTCCTGGCTGGGGCCCTGAGGGCTTGGAGCTAGTGTCTCCAGCTGTCGCAGGTCCAGCATAGAGCGAACACTTAGCTCCACACCTGGCTGAGCCCAGCGTCCCCTTCTTCTGGATCCTTGGTTGGATGCAGGAACTGGATCCAGGAACTCTGTCTCCTGTGCCTGGTGTGGAGTAGGGGAAGAGTAACAATGATAACCATACAATAATACCAGAAAACACTCTTTTATCATTTACTATATGCTGGGCACTATGCTAAGCTCTTTACATGTATTAGTTCACTCAGTCCTCAGAATAACATTTTATTCCCATTTTTACAGATAAGAAACTGAAGCACAGAGGGCTGAAGTAACTTTATCAAGACCCATAGACAGTAAGTGGCCCTCAGGTTACAACACAGGAGTCTAGCTCCAGAGTTCATGCTCTTCACTTCACTCTACATCCTCTCTAAGAACTTCTAGTCCTAGTCTTCACCTGGTATTGTAAACAGCTCTGAGCTAGGAATCTCTTATTCTGAGGACAGCTACTACAGGGCCCCAATGTCCTTTCTCAGCAACAAGCACAAACCAAGAGCCCAGACTTGAGACCTCTGACCTGGTCAGAATGCACCAAAGACACTGCACCATCACTGCCCCCAAAACTGTTGACAAAAGAAGGTACGTGTGCTTGAAATCCTGACATGGGAGATGTGAGGAATTAGGCTGCTTTGGGGCTTGCTCTAAAAGGCTGTATTCCCATTTGGGGACCCTGAAGTAGCCCCTCAGTTATTGGCCCTTTTGTGGCTTTTTAACTCTAACAAACTATTCAAGAAGTTTAGAGCTTACCTCCTAAACTGGGATCTTTAGAACTATAGTTTCTCCAGATTTCTGTTCTGGACTTTGATTTTCCTGAATTTTAGTACTGTTTGGCTCACACATCCTATTTCTACTTCCGACCTCAACCTGTTCTGAACAAATGGTACACTTCCCCTAGTAAGACTGACCCTTGTGTTCTACCTCATCTAACCCACAAGAAGCTTCCCTCACCCCTAACTGGAATCAGCCCAGGTGCTTTAACTACCCCCACAAGGCCCTATCCTTGGCCTTAACAATGGTGACTCACCCGACTCATCTCCCAGTGGGACAGGCTTCGGGGCATGGCTGAACTAGGGACTGGACAGAAACAGGCAGTGAGAAGGTGTATCTCAAGAGCCCTGGCCCCACATACCCTATGTAGTAACAATTACACTCTAGTTTTCTCAGCTCACACTGCTCATACCCCACAGTCCCAGAAAGGGCACATCTAGCTACTATACCAACTCATGGCTGCCTGGCTTCATACCAGAGTTCCACAGACCTAGTGGCACTTTCTTGATACTCTTGGTAAGGATGGGCAGAGCTGGAAGTTCTTCTTCTTCTGTTCCCTCATCTTCTCCCTCCTTGTCACTGTCTGATGAGAGAGCTTGTCCAGTAGAGAGCATGGGTGGGGCCTTGTGTCTGAATCCAAGACAAGGAAGGTTACAGGGAAAGTAGGTTTAATGGGGGAAGAGACCAACATCACGGGCTCCATGTAGGAAGCAAGGTCTTGGGAGGCAGAGTCACTCAATGGCAGGTCCAGAGCACAGAGGAGGGTCAATGGAACACAGAGAACAATTTGGACCCCCACCCACCACTTGCCCATATTTTGTTATTACCGGTTGGGTATAGTTCTTTGGGGAGAAGATGGTCCTTGATGCTTGACCCCTCGCTGACGCTGGCGAAGCTCAGCCAGGCGCTGCCTCATGCTGATGGTCATCTCTGAACTCAGGCGCCACACAAATATGCAACTAGGGTAGAGCCACAGAGTTGAGTTAGGGAGGGAAGGCTGACCACCTGAGATGGCAATACCATCAGCTCCCTTCTCCCTAGGCTGTCAAGGAGATCAAAGCCACTTTCTACTTCCAGGTCAGGTGTAGTCAAGAAACATCCCTGTTGAGTCCTACTTCCCAGAGACATCACTGAAACAAAGCCCTTGAGATGATGAGAAGGAAGGGGCAGGGTGTGTTTGTGACACAAGGAAGAATCTGTCTCCCAGAAATGCTGGTTTTTGCTTACCTGTCCCCAGACACAGAGATGAGATGTTTGCAGTCATTACTGAATTTCATGCCAGTGACAATCTCTGTGAAGAACAAAGAATAGAGAGACACCTTCTCACTGCCTGTTTCTGTCCAGTCCCTAGTTTAGCCCTGCCCCGAAGCCTGTCCCACTGGAAGATGAGTCGGGTGAGTCACCATTGTTAAGGCCAAGGATAGGGCCTTGTGGGGGTAGTTAAAGCACCTGGGCTGATTCCAGTTAGGAGTGAGGAAAGCTCAGATATTTTCTTCTTGTGGGCTAGATAAGGTAGAACACAAGGGTCAGTCTCACTAGGGGAAGTGTACCATTTGTTCAGTCACCCGGGAGCCAAAGAACAGGTTGAGGTCAGAAGTAGAAATAGGATGTTTGCACCAAACTCTACTAAATGAGCCATCCAGAATTCCTAACTATAGTTTTTTCCCAGCTGTGGAGGAGGACGTGGAGGTTGATTGCGGGGAGGGGAACAGGAAGCTCTGCTGGGTTCCAAGAAACTAAACGATGGAGTACTTGGGGCTACACTCACCTGAGTGGCCAAACATGGTGGCCACACACTCGCCTGAGGAGAAGTCAAAAATGGAGAGGTTTTTGTCAGAACAGCTGGTGGCAATGTAGATCCCTGAGGGGTCTGTTTGCACCTGAGGAGAGAATCACGTAGCTGGAAGAGGAAGAGCAACACCAGACCCTCTCCACCTACCACTCCTCTCTTCCTTAGCCCTCTGAGCTAATGCTCATCCTACTGGGCCCTTACCTTGATTAGGGTGCCATCCTCACCCTGTGACCCTTTAAACAGCTTCTTCTGCTTCCCACTGCTGATGTTAAAGATCCTGTAAAGAAACACACAGAAGGTAAAGATCAAGCACATCATTCACTCCCAGCCTCATTATCTTTGGGAGTTACCCCCTAACACCAAAGGGGCCACCAAAACCTGGGTGAGGCAAAATGCTCAATCTGTAGACCCAAGGTGATAAAAAGTCCTAGAGAAAAAGACAGATGTGGGGACTTAAGAGCTGATCCCCCCAGGGCATGAGGGAATGAAAAGGGGATGCCCACCGAATATTTCGGTCCTGGCAGCCAATGGCAGTGTACTTCCAACTGGGCTCCACATCCATGTCATACAGGGTCGTCTTCCGTACCACATGGTGTGTCCGTGTAAACTGTACTCCATCTCCAGACTGCAGGGGTGGAGCATGTGGGCAGACTCCATGTTCAGATAACTCAGCAGGCCCAGGGAGCACTGCTATCACCTCCTGTCACTTCCCCATCCCCCATGCCATTTAGGGAAGCCCAGTGCCCTCACCTTCTGTGCAGTTCGGAAGTAGATGCTCTTATCTGCTCCACAGCTAATCATGCGGACTTGCCCATCGCTGGCTATGGAAGAAGGGAGCCCAGCTGTTCCCACTGCTCTCACCAGGGGAGTGAGCTTTTCTTTTGCCCTCTCCCCACATTTTTTCCCTCTCAAGCTATTCTACATAGCTGGGACAACCAATGAAATCAGATGCTTCCCTCTAAACTGAAACTTTTCTCTCTTCCCATCCTCAGCCCAAGCTGAACGGCTCAGCATTCACTGGGCTGAGAATCTACATTCCACCTGTCTTCTCCATCCAGGCCAGGCCTCCCAGCTGCTGTGTGACACTACCCCACCGCTGGGAGATCCTTCCCATGGCAGTGGGAGGCAGGTGGCAGTGGCAGTAAGGGTGGCAGGCGTCAGGATGTGTTTCAATCACCCCGCCCACACCTGCAAACTTGACGGCAGTGATGGAAGATGAGTGCTCATCCAGCGTCTGCTGCAGGCTATACTCCCGTCCAGCATCCAGCACGTGGATCAATCGGTCCCGGCTGGCTGAGGCTAGCAGCTTCAGACCTGGGATTGAAAGAACTCCATCAACCCATGAGTGCCCAAAGAAGGACCCTATATGGGCTGAACAAAGAGCCCTACAGGAACTGAGCCCCATATCCCTAAACCAAGTGAAGCCTGGAGCAGGGGCAGAGCTTAGATTCAGTCCCCCCCAAGCCTTCAAAGACACCAAATGATCAAAAGGATTACCAATTCTTCTGATGACCCAAAGGATTATCAGCCCCACATTCAAGAGCTAGGATAAATATCACTGGCACTTGCAGGACTGGAGGAGCTCTGTGCCATTCTAGGCCAGGTACCAGGCATCCTCCTTACCTGTGTCTGGCTTCGAGTACTCCAGGCACAGAATCTCTGATTCATGGGCCTCGACCTTCAGCATCTCACTCAGGGTCTGCAGTTCATGAACCCTGCAAAGATGAGGAGAGGAGGGAAGAAGTCATTTGCTAGTCAACAGGACAAAAGACTTCCCCCATCTTCCTCTGATACAACCTCTCTGCCAACATTTTTTTTTTTAATTTTTTATTTAGAACTTTTAGACTTAGAAAAAAGTTTCAAAGACTGCAGAGTTTCTGTATTTCCCTTACCCAGTTTCCCTAACTGTTAATATCTTATAGGCCTATAGTACATAATGTTCAGAACCAAGAAATTAACATTGGTACAATATTATTAAACAAAAGATCTTATTCAAATTTCACCAGTTTTTCCACTAACATCTTTCTTCTGCTCCAGGATCCTATCCAGAATCTCCACTGCATTTAGTTGTTATTTCTCCTATAGTCTGTAATGGTTCTTCAGTCTTTCCTTATCTTTCATGACCCTGACACTTTTGAAGAGTACTGGTAAGTTACTTTGTCATACGTACCTCAATTCTACCTCAATTTGAGTTTGCCTGGTGTTTTCTCATGATTAGACTGAATTTATGCATTTTTGGCAAAAATACCACAGAAACAATGCTATATCCTTCTTAGTATATCAGGTTACAAAGTTCACGATGCTGATATGGGGATGTTAACCATGATGACTTGGCTAAGGTGTTTTTTGCCCAGTTTCTTCACTATCAAGTTATTATCTTTCCCTTGTAAAAGATAAATATCTTGTCTCCAACCTTTTTCAGCTAAACCCTCCTAAACCTCTGACCTTGGGGACCTAACTCCCCTAGCCTGCATCATGGGAGGTAGTGGATATCCATTCCAGGAGTGGCATTACCTCAGTGTGCCCATCCGGTCCCCTGAAGCTAGATGTTGTCCATTGGGGCTGATACACACAGAGCGGATGCCCACACGGGGATCCATCAGGGACCCATCAGCTTTGTCGCCTCCAGGCAGCTCGGTGTCCAGCAGGGCCTGAGTGTTCCCATCCACATAGATGATCTTAATAAGGTCCTAGTGGGAGAGGTCAGGAGAAGAGGTAGATAAGGCAGGTCTGACACAGTACAGCTGCCAGGGGAGAGGACTGGTGGGTAAGAGTGTGCCCTCATCACAGAGCCTGGCCAAATAACAGCTGGAAAATCATGATCTGGAGCCCTAGTTCCTAAGAATGAAGTATGAAGGCTTATGGGGGTGCTAAGTATGGAGTTGGGACCCTAAATCTCAGGGCTCACATTGCTGAGGATGTTTCGGTACAGTGTAGATCCATGTACCCCAGAACTCTCTGTATTCCATAGGCGGATGGTGTTGTCAGAGGAACACGTGATAAATGAGCTGGGAGGCAGGCAGGCTTGGTTACTGTCCTTCACCTCAGGGTAGACCTGAAGGGGCAGAGGGAATAGAGCCAGTTCTCTAGTTAAGGAGCAATCCCTTGATTGCCCAAGGAGATGGAAGAGAATGAGATTAAAGAGACTTAATGCACATAGTAAGCAAGCCATACCTGTTGGATATTGTCATTAATAGGTAAGAGAAAGCATACTAACCAAGTACCAGGTACTCTTCTATGTCTCCCACTTACATTATCTCATTTAATTCTCAGAACAATCAGAGAAATCAGGCACATCATTTTACAGTTACAGTAACTGCAGTAACTTGTCCAAGATTATCCAGCCCAGGATGAGGCAAAGCTAAGGCTAGATAGGGGCATACTGGAAGACATCTGAGATGTGTAAGCACTAAAGTTTAAGCTCAATCCTCAGAACCTATCCAAGGATATGCAGATACACAGGGATACTGCTAGACAAACAGGGAAGCAGCAGGAACATAATACTATACTTGGGAATCCCCAATGCCATAGTCATAATAGTGTACCAGCAAACATGGTCAGTCTCATGCCAGTCGGGCTCACATACCTCCACACTCCAGACACAGGAGGCATGATACAGAGCTGAGTACACCTTGCCCACTTTCTTGGGGTCCCTCACATCCCAGACATAAATGCTGTGGTCGTTGTATACACAAGACAGCCACTGATTAGTAGGATCAAAGGTCAAGGCAATGGTGTCTGGATACTTGGCATTGGCCACTCCAGAGAAGAGGCGACTGCAGGGCAGAGAACAGGGCAAACTGATGAGTGAGGAGCTGATGAAATGAGAGACAACCCACAAAGGAAGGAACAGGGCAAGGGAAGCCCTCTCCAGACCTTCAGGTTTGCCAACAGTTGCTTGGAAAAAACAAAATACAGCAGTCCCTAATAGCTGTCAGCTGGGAGCTGACCTGGCACTAGCTGGTCATGGTGCTCTCCTGATGAATATAAGCTATTTCATAGAACACCAGCATCAGACAGGATTACTTTGTGGCCATGATAAGATAAAACAAAAACAAGACCACTCTATAGCACAGACAAAAACAAGATCACTGTGCAAACCACAAAAAATGACCAGACATCACCCGTTCCCATCTAACATGATTGTTCTTTATTTACTAATTAGAGATTTAGCCCCTTACTACCTTCAAATGAGCTCTGGTAGTGTAGTGCCTAAGGCATTTGACTGTTAACCAGAAGGCTGGTGGTTCAAACCCACCAGCCACTCCTCAGAAGGAAGACTGGGCAATCTACTTCCATAGTGATACCGCCTTGGAAACCCAAGGAGAGGTCACTATGAGTTGAATTGACTCAATGGCAGTGAGTTTGGTTTGGTTTTTTGGTATCCTTAAATAAAAATTAAGATACCCAAGTGTAGAATTTCCCCACTTTGTGGGGAATTTCCCCCCTTTAGCACCCAATCCAGAGCAAAACCTTGCTTCCTTGAACTGTACCTAAAATCACCCAACATAAGAGTAAATGTTATAGTAAACCCCTCCTAGCACCCATTTAAAAAGCTTTGGTAGCATAGTGGTTAAAGCATTTAGCTGTTAACCAACCAATCTGTGGGAGAAAGATAAGGCAATCTGCTTCCATAAAGATTTACAGCTTTAGAACCCTACGGGGCAATTCTACTCTGTCCTAAAGGGTGGTTATGAGCCAGAACTGACTCAATGACAGTACGTTTAATACCTACTTACTGAAATCACTCTACAGTTTTTCCATAGTGAGTGCTCGCCTTTGTTGTGGCAAGCATCAATAATCTCAAATTTGTTTTGATTACAGGAGTGTTCCTGGGAGGTCTTTGGCTGGTAGCCATCTATATACTCTTTACCATATTCCTTGAGGCAAGCTAGGGAAGGCTTGGCACAGAGTGAGTCTCTGAATGGAGGCAGGGGGCCCACATAGCTCACCTGGCCTCAGTGATGCTGGCAATGTCTGTCCCCAGAGCATGAGGACGGGGTAGCGTGCTGAGGAAGTGCAGGTTAGAGGGGTTGAAAAGGCGTATGGTGCCATCAGCACAGCCACAGAAGATGTAGTCTTGGCTCACAGAGATGCAGTGGGCCACTGTGGTCTGTGAGCAGAGTGGCTCCAGTCAGCAAGGGTCACTTGCTCACTCCTCCTCCCCACCCCTCATCAATAGTCACTTGCCAAGAGGTAGGGCCAAAGGGAAAACATGCCAGCTGCTCTGGCCTGGGGCCCTCAGCTATCTTCTAGAGATGCCCTTCCCTTCAGCAGCAGCTGGCCAGAGGGCCTATGGCCCTGTGCAGTTGGGGGACAGGGGTTAGAGACTCTTCTAGGGTACCAGATGGTTGACAGAGAAGACAAAGTAGGAAAAGCCCAGCAAAAAAAAAAGAAACATAGCATGAGAAAGAGAGGAGGGTCTAGGCACACTTACTGTGAAGCTGTCTGGGCTCTGAGCAGAAGTGGAAAGCAAAACAAAGAGACAGAGAAAGAGAGAGCAGAGGGGAGGCAGTTACAGAGATCACCATGGGCTTGAACTGGGCCAAGTTCTAGCTCCCCCAAGCTTCTTCCTCCTGGGATCCCCTCCTGCATGCATGAGGGCCCAGAACCTGGTTGGAGCCACAGGCACCAGTTTTTCCCTGAGCTGAGAGATGGGTAGGCCTATCCACTGCGACAGTGTGACAAAGCAATCACTTACTCTTAGCTCCACCCACTTGTCCAAAAGTCTCCGCTCACTGAACTCGCACAATAGCCCTGAGGATGTGATACAGAAGGTGCTATCTGCCTTCTTCCCACGGCCACAGGCCACGTCGGTGAACAGGTTGTTCCGTAGCTCCCCCAGCAGCCCTGAGCGGCCCAGCAAGGGCACGGTGGCATTCACCTGCGGAGACATACTACTGCTGCCACCCATCCACCCCGGAGGTTGCCCCTAGAAATCAAGCCTGAGGGAGAGAGGGGAAGCAGCGAGCCCCCTTGCTGTTTGAGATGACTCTTCAGCCCAGACAACATCTGAGTCATCCTAGACTTCCATGTGGCTTCAGAGCAAGCAGAAAGGGGCTCAAGTGAAGCAGGATCTCCTGGGAGTGAGCTGGGCAGGCCGTGGCCCTGGTGGCTACTTGCAGCCTCAGCACCTCACCTTTGAGGTCTTGCTGTCATCGAGGTACCAGAATTTGATGTGCCGGTTGCCTGCAGTGACAAAGTAGCTGCAGTCCTCAGAGAAGGATACTGCTGTCACCCGACTGGACACTTTGTTGGAAGCCACGACAATGTTTTTCTGGAGGGAATGCCAAGGGAATAATCAAGGTTCTGCCTCTAGGGGCTAAGAGAAAAGCAGTTCTGAGCATGGAGGAGGGTCAGATAATATTCATTCTTGAAAAAATACTCCTTTCAAGATTTTCTGGTGGGGGGCGGATTCCTTTCTAGAGGAGATGAAGAGATTCATTTTCTCTAGAGGTCTTCAAAGGCATAAAGCCAGCCCTGTCTACGAACATCTGGCTACACAGTTGCATCTTCTGCTTCAGATCATTTTCTAGAATGAGACTGAGATCAGCAGGGTGAAGTGAAAGGGCTCAGGTCAGCAGCTTTTTGGTTCTCCAACTAGTCCTTTCATCCCCATAAGGCCACCAGACCATTCACCCAGCCCACTTACCTTCCAGGCCCAGACATTGACGATCATGTCATGCTGGTAGCCTATGGAGACGATATACTTGGCACTAGGGGAGAAGGCCACACAAGCCACACCATACTTATGTTCCTGCAGCTCTGCCACCTGGCTGCGCTCAGCCACGTCCCAAACCCGCACAGCAGGCATGTGTCCACTCTGCAGGGAGGTAAGACCTAGAAGTAAGGGCCAGAGGAATCCAGCTCCCTAGCCATTCATATGAAGTCAAAAGAGTTTTATACATTTTCGTTTACAAGAATGGGAAGGTTCTCAATACATTGTATAAGTGAGAAAATGGTGTACAGTTTCTTACCCTCAAATATAAGAAGTCAAAAGATTATACACGTTATCAAGGTATACTTTTTGTACTTTTTTTTGTGTGGGGGCCCTCACCTTCCCAACTACCTGATACTATCTTTTTAATGACACCCTGAATGAGAGTCAAAAGTAGGGTGTCACACTGGACAAAGGCACAGAGGGAATAAGATAAATGTCTGAGAGAACAATGACCATTCAGGAGAAAACAGCACTACATTTTGATTCAGTATCTCTGGGTGGGGTCAGTTTATTTGTATTCACTGGAAGGTCTCTGAGTGACTCTGATGGGCAGCCAGGATTAAGAATTGCAACCACTCATATCTGTTTCTGTTCCCTACTGTCTCCCCTATAAGAGACTACACGAGGGAAGAAGTGTTCCTCATGTGCCCAGCAGGGGGCCACCAGGGATAAGGAATATTTTGAAGCAGTGTTCTGGTAACACCAGCATTACCTGGAAACATGTTAGAAATGTAAATTTGAGACCCCAGTCCAGATCTACTGAATCAGAAACTCTTGTGGTGGACCCAGTAATGTGCACTTTAAAAAGCCTCTCAGGAGACTATGATACACACTAACGCTTAAGAAACCACTGTTTTAAGGTAGAGCATAAACCGGATTTGGCACCAGTTCAGAAGTCAAAGTGGCAGCAGCCCTAACCAGGCCTTAGACTGTAGCTGTCTGCCGAGGCCAGGCCACCATCCTCTTCACAGTACTGTAGCCCCTTTTCCTCACTCACCTCTCCAGTGACCAAGTACTTGCCATCAGGGGAGAAGGCAAGGGCAGTGATGGTTTTCCTGTAAGAAATGGGGGCAGCTCAGGAGGGACACTGGCAGCCTGGTCTAATCCTGGCCCCTCACCGTCCTCTCAAAATGCAAGACCAGCAAACACCAGTGGTACCTGTGGTGTTTCCCACCAGGCCGTGGGGCCCAACTAGGACCCAGTGCCACAGAAGACTTAGTGCCATTCTTACAACCCCTAGGAGAAGGAGGTGCTCCCTGAGGACCCAGGGCTCATTTACCTGGAACTGTTGAGGATGTGGTGCTGTTTGTGTTTCCGGGGATTGAATAGCACGACCACACACCTGGGGAGATGAGTGAGAGAAGAGCCTAAGCACCACATTACACCTCCCCCAGGAGCTCCCAGGCTGTCTGGAATGCTGATCACTCAAGGCTCCCACTTGCCACAGAAGCTTCCTCCTAGTAACCTGCTCTTTTTGAGTCCTTTCCCCAATGCAGCCCCATGAGGGTGAAAGGGCTTCCTGGAAGCCTATCCTCACCCAGGTCCTCAAGCACAAGCACCTCTGGTCATTGCACCTAGGCCAATAGAAACACAGGTCTTCCCACAGCTCTTGCACCTACCCCAGGAAGGGGTGCCAGAGAGAAGAATACATGTAATTTGGGTAAAGGCAAGTCTTGGATGTGTCCTTGTGCATAGTCTGGGGTCACACAAGTGTTGAGCACTCAGGGTCCAAGAAGTGTGAGGTCTCTCACACATGTACCCATGTGTGTACTTGGCAGGACCCACCCAACAAGGGGTGGAAGGTCAGGGCAGAGGGCCAGAACTATAGGAAGACTCAGTAAGACTAAGAATTTGAGGGCAAGAGGGAAGGAGGGACAGAAACAGCCTGAAGGGGCTTTACAGAGCTCCTAGACCCAGCCCTAAGACTCTCGAACCCCAAGGAGCCTGAGAAGAGCCCTTCCGACAGCCAACAGACAACAAGAAGCAAGCCCTCCAGGTAGGTGGCAAGACTGGATGAGACCAGAACTAGACTGACTATCCAGAAGCAGCTCAAGAGAGGGAAGCAGGTGGTAGGAGTCAGGGACAAGAAACTGGGAGCTAATAGCCCACCAGTGTCCCTCTAAGGGGCCTTGGCTATCAGCAAACTTTGGCCCTCTGCCCCACATGCCTCCGCTCTTCATTAGCACTAAACTTAGCACTTGGAACTAACCGACAAAAGAAGCCTGGAGCCTGCTACAGCAAGTAAGGGAACCAGAAGAGAAGGAGCAGAAGGCTACTTCCCCCAGCCTAACCTTTTTTAATGGAAAACCCACTGCAGGACCCATATCTGAACCCCACTGTTTACAGACCAGGGTATAAGCTGCTAGTGAGTGTTGAGCATCTTTTCCAGATACAGGACTTTTAGGATCAATGAACCACTTCAATATACAAATTCCACTGGTAACCTTTTCTGGGGATGATGGGAACTCTGTTGTGTACCAGGTATGCATGAACTGCCAGGCTGCTCAACAGCCTTGGAAATCCTGAATAACACCATCTTCTCCTCTAATCCCCTCTCCTACAAATCTTTTTCCTTTTCTCCCTATTTCTTTCCTTTACTTATTCCTCATTCCTTTCTCCTTTTTCTCTTTAAACTGACTTCAAGGCTCCTGGTACCCCTCTAGAATGACAAAAACAAGATGGATTTAGAAACGTCCTCCCCACATACACACACTCATTTGCCCAGTTTCTCTTAAGAGCAGTCTAGTACATGGGGGTAGAGGGGGAGGGGTTAATTCTTCCCAAACAGACCAACTCATAGAACCTTAGAGCTAGAAGGAAGAATGGAAGGAATGGAATGTACTATGGCTAGGTGACTTGAAAGATCACCTGGTCCAAAATTCTGAGATGAGGAAACCCAGCCTCAGAAAGGTCCCATAAAGAGCAGAGCCAGGACTCACACACGGCTCTTCTAACTTTTAGTGCTCTCTGCAACAAATACATATCCATTGTGTTACCTACCACTCTGCCTAGAATCTCTGGAAGCTTCTGATACCGAACTCCTTAAAGTGTCCATTAGGCCTTGCATGGTATGGCCCCTGTCCATTCTCCAGCCTCCCTCTATACCATGTTCCAACCATACGGGACTGACTTTCACTCCCTTAAACTTTCTCTGCTTTCTCTCTCTACAAGGTCTTTCCACACACTGTTCCCTCTGCCTAGAAAAGTCTTCCCTCCTTTTTTCAACTATTAACTCTTAGCCCTCTTTCAAATCTCAGGTCACATGGCCCCTATATATGTTCTCATAACACAGTGTGTTAATTTTTCACATGGCTTCTATATATGTTCTCGTAACACAGTGTGCTAATTTTTATAATACATAGCTACAATCTCATTTATTTTTAATTGTCTCTCACATTAGACTGCATTCCACGAGGGTGGGAATTGGGCCTGGTTTTGCTTTGTCTCCTATCTGGCAGAGTCTGGCATCTTGCAGTTTTCAGTAAACATTTATTGAATGGATGAATACCTCCCTTGGTCCATCAGCTCAGTCTCCTGCAGCATCAGTGGGCCCCAACTCCTCTAACCTATTCCATGGCCTACCTGTCTTCTATGGAAGGTAGGACACCAAGGATCTCAGAATCCTCAGGAGGTAGTGAATCCACTATGGCCTTTGGAATCAGAGACCAGGATTTGACTCCTTGTTCTACCGTGTGCAGCTGTGTGACTTATCTATAAAAAGGGAGACACTCAGATCTAGTTCATAAGACTCCCGTACAGAGTAAGTAATTTTTCCTGACACATAGCAGGAGCTAAATAAAAGGCAGATCATAGTATCACTACTCATGGGGTATTGAAAGGAAGCTGAAAGGGGGCTCCTGGCAGTCAAAGCAAGGTGCTAAGGGACTGCACCAGGTTCTCTGCTTTGGAGGAATGCATAAGTTGTGTTAAGATCTGTGAAATAATAAAAACTTTAAAGGAGGCTTTATTTTTCCTTCTGGGATGGCAGCCAGGAAAGAAGAGCTGAGTGAAGCGTGGGGGAAGAAGATATCTACAACTTTATTCACTTAGGAGATGGTAAGCTTAGAAGACAGCAAGGAAGAAAAGGGGAAATGTTGAGGGAGAAACTACCTTAAGCATCCAGGAGAGCAGCACAAAAGCATGGAATGATCACGGAAGTGACATCTTCTGGCTAAGTTACAAAGCACCACCTACAAACATGAGGGCTTGCACCTCCTTTAGTACCTGATCTACTGCTCTTCACACTATTTCGGGCCCAATAGGAAGTTACCATTTATCAAGCACTTCCCGTGTATGAGATATCTGCTGAGCACTTCAGCTATATGGTCCTGTCTAATTCTTACAACTTTGTGACATTAGTATAACCATCCCCACTTTATAGATGGAGAAATGGGTTCCAAGCACTGAGATAATGTGCCCAAGACCACACAGCTAAAACAGAGTCAGGACTCCAAAACCAGTGCTCTAAGAAAAGCACGGGGTGGGGGCAGGGGCAGGGGCAGGGGCAGGGGGAGGGCACGGAATTGAAGCTGAAGAGGAGAGACCTGAAACACAGGAAGAAAAGAAAAAGAAACACAGGGAGAACATTGACCTAACACACAGAGCACAGGGCAGGAGCTCTGAGATGCAGGAAAGACTAGTGGAAGACTTGCATGCAGAGAGGATTTAGCCTACAAAATTTTCAGAAATTAGAACAGGGCTCCTGAAAATTATAGCAGTTATAATTCAAAACTCAAAGACTTAGATATTACAATATTTACATTTTAATACTTTATTCAGTTCATGAAAAATTATGCCCTCCAGGCCTGCCACCATCACGATGATCCCAGCAAGTTTTCAGTGGCTAATGTTTTCTGTGGGGTGGTACAAACAGTTAACAGGCCAGCTTCAAAGTGAAAGGCTGAAAGGTTAAGTCCACCCAGTGTCACCTCGGAAAAAAAGGCCTAGTGATCTACTTCCAAAAAAATCAGCCATTGAAAACTCTATGGCTTTCCTACTCTGGCACACAGAAGGCCATGAGTTGAAATCCACTCGATAGCAACTGTTTTTATTTTCGTTTTTAAATATTTTAACCTTTTTGCTATCTGTGCTAACCTGTTGAGAAGTACCTCTTCAGGCTCAGATCTCCAGGCAAAGGCTTCTAGTCTGGACCTAGCTTTCTGATCAGTTGCAGATGAATCATGGCAAAGGGCTTCAGTTGTGAGCTGATTGAACTTGAACTGATGATACAGAATCCATCCAGCCACATTCCAAATCCAGGAAAAGTGAGTGGTGAGGACTCTATAGTAGGCTGTTGCATTCTGCCTTAAACCAATCATCTCAAAGCAGCATTGTGGTCTTTAAAGGGCAGTGCATTAGACTGTTCAAAACTCTTTCCAAGTCACTGCCTATAAATTCTGAGTCTTGCTGAGCCACATATCACCTTTGTCTTCCTGAATTTTTACTCCCAATTAATTAAAATTTGGAAACCTTCCAATGCAGAGTCTTTCTAGGCCATGTATCTTGTTTCCTCCTTTCCCTTAACCAGTATTTGATAAAGAGCTCAATGGCATGGTGGGAGGAGGAGGGAGAGCAGGGCTGTGTATGAGTAGAAATACAACAAAGATGGAAAGATGACTGATTAGAAGCAGATGAGGCAACCCTTCCCTTCTTTAACATCTTCTGGCACATTCCAGTATTTTCTGGGAAATTCTCAGGTGTGGCATGGAAGAGTTGAGCAAGAGATAGACTCACACACAGGTGGGCCATTCAGCTGAAATTTTTACTCCAATTAATTTAAATTTGAAAACTTTCCAATGCTGAAAGTGATACAGAGAGTAACCATGTTCATAGCTCCACTCGTGAGGACAATAACGCAGATGCCAAAGTGAGGGCAGAACTTGGCAAATGTGTCCAAGATTCCCCCTGGTTCCAGCTTGTTGAGGTCGTGCAAGAAAACAGACCTAAAAACACTGATGTGAGAGCCTCCCTCAGTCTTCTTGGTGACCTCTGACCAAGCACCTCAGTCAGCTAGGGAGGGATGGGTAGGACAGTTTGCATCAATCTTTGGCCCTTGGCTCCACATCCTCTGACCCTGCCTAGCACCACTGACAGCCATCTTCACATGTGCCCACGTTACAGTGCTGGCTGAAATCCTCAACATGATGAGGGCTGGGTTTGCCCAACCACCTGAATCCTATAACTCAAAACCCTAGGGGCAGGGAGACTGCTCACTCTCACAAGGAGACTGAGAGGCCTCAGTCCATCATGGCTTCAGCCCAGGGCACTGACGTTATAGAGCACGAGTGCCAGGTGCTGGGCCCAGTGCCCTTGACAGCCCCTTCCCTGGACAGGTCCAGGCCT